TTTTGGAACTGTGAAAGGGCAGTTTCTTCGCGATTGCTGTCCAGGAATAGTACTTTTCCGTCAACCAAGGAGTGTGTGGTTGATATGGTCGCCATAAGTAGAGACAGCGTCGAGACAGTGGCTTTTCATTTTCCTTCTTCATCTACATTCTCATCTTCCTTTCCCTTCACTAATCGGTTGGCTATTGGAGGTATCCAGTTACTTCATAATTACTATTACATATGTTTCATAATGAGGTGCACCCCAGTCGGTTCGAACAAACCACATTCTTTTTCAGCTTTCAGCCTGATAATCGCAAGCCGAACATTGCTGATCCCATGTGAGTAGGAGAAATTGTCTGACATCGGTTTGCCCATCAGGGTTCACAACATACCCTCGTCATCCGGGCAGTTGATTAGGGCGGTCGTCAACGGGCCGCAGCGCGTGCCAGGAACTATTTGCTTTTTCCAGGCTAATTTAGTCATTTTTTCCACCTTGTGAAGATAAGGAGCTGCTAATCTGGGAAAAAGTAGCCAAAACAGTGAAAAGTTGGAAAAAATGACTAAATTAGCCTGGAAAAAGCAAATAGTTCCTGGCACGCGCTGCGGCCCGTTGACGACCGCCCTAATCAACTGCCCGGATGACGAGGGTACAGTCATCGTTCTTGCGAACAATAGGCGTAGGACGGCGGCTCGGAGCGCAGCCAGGGATTTTCCACCAAATGTCGAGAGCTCAGAATGGCGTCATTGTCGGAACAAATGTTGCCCTGACTGCGCGCAATACGCGCCGCGTTGCACGCCCTATCGGTTGCAGAATTTATGACGGTACGCCAATTCAGAGTCAGCTTCACTTACAGTCCTAAGATTTTAAAGGCAGTTGACACGATAATTTTGACTCGGCCTAAAATGCTAGTAGGGCGCTGTATAGTGGGAAATGGCGAAAGAACGGAGTGAAACGGTCAAAATCCTGCGAAGAAAAAGCCTTCGTTTCAGTGACTTCAAAAATCAATTTCGGACGAGTTTCCCATAGGCATCTTGCCAATAACCGCTACCGAAGATACGGCTGCATGTATGTACTCATATATCCATGCAGCACCGCCGTCGCTTCATACCAATCCCTTCGCTTCATAATTTGCTTAGCAAATGAATCAATACGAGCGTCGTCAGGAACGGTCGTCCATTTGTGGGCGGGCGGGCGTGGAGGGCGTTCGGGTTGTTGCAGATCGATAGGGCCCTTATAAGGGTGCCTTCCTTGGAATAGGCGCTACGCAGCGCTTGCTCAGGGTCGCGGAATTCTTTCCTGCCAGGCGCATCAATCCTACCCGCCTTAGGGATTTATCGTGCCAACTGCCTTTAAGCAACATCTGCTCTGTTTGCTTTCAGATAAAGAGAGCGAAGTGGGAGAGCGCGTAAGTATGGACTCGCTTTCATTTGAGCTTCATCTTTATATAGGAATTCAAATTAACAGTTTGCACCGTACCTGAAGGCGGAGATATATGGGCGTTCCTGCTTATCAAGGCTCCACTTCACGTCTTCCATCCATGGGTCAGAATCATGCGTATAGAGGAAATGAGATGCCATCTCGTAAAATGCCTAGAATATCACAAATACTCTTTTTACAGCTCTCCAAGAATGTCGCGCTGTTCAAGGTGATTATCGTGCATTTCAATATATTCATGACAAACACAACCACGTTTCGTCTGGGTCGCGTTCATACTTCGTCGCTCGAAAATGCAGTCGTACAATCGCCAAACCGCGCTGCGATCGACCGCTCCATCGCCAATCGTTGGACTGCAGCCAACATCAAAAACAGTTAGATAGTGTGGCAGCGGACCTATCCGCTCAAACGGTGGAACCACTGGTGAGTCTCTGTCTTGCGATATTGGCGTCTTCTCGAGGGTTCCTGACACGACGTCGGAACCGCTAGAGTTGACGAGGTGCTTGGTGGGGTAGGTTGCATATCTAATGCTTGAAACACATTCAGGCCTCTGAAGACGACGATTAAGTCGAAACGTTAGGCCATTTTTAATAAATGTTCCACCTAACAACCTCGTAAGGCACAAGAATATCAAAACATTCACTACTAATATGCCGAGGTTGCAAGAAGAGAGAAGCTGGAGAAAAACAGTTATATTTAAAGACGTGGTGTAGCAGTCGCCGCGGTCGAACAATTAGCGATACAGTGCGACCAGTCGCAAATGCGCGTTTACGACATCGTTCCAGTGGATCGAGTTCGCGCAGTATGATCACATAAGTATTTTCACTGCTTCTTCGGAGAAAATAATCCTCGTTCAACATTATGTATTTTTAAAAAGCAATTTGTACTAGTCATTCCACCAGTTGGGAAAAAATTTGGCAGGAAAAGTAGCAAAGTCGAAACCGTCTCACCTCATCTTTTATAGTGGTGTTCAATTCGGTGCGATAGTAGCGTTCCATCTCATGCATCCAGAACTGAATGCTCTGATCACCGATGGCATGGCGAGCATTGGCGAACGATGAGACCATCGAGTTGATCCGGGACCGTTCCTCACGGTTGCGAAGATCCGGAGCTCTACTCACCACGATCTGTAATTTTTGACGGATTGGTGAGACGGGATGGCTCGATTAGTCAAGCCTTTGTGTGCGGAGGATTAAAGCATTCCAATAAACGCGATATTTAACATCGTGGAAATATTTAAAGCAGATGAGCAGTAGCTTCATGAGGCAGTTTTTTCTTATCATCGCAATTCTTACCAGGGAAGTCCGCCAACTTTACCATGGAACTTTGAATGGAGACCTGGGTAGATCGATAGAGTCTATAAGGTTATTTACAAATATGATAGCAAAACTGCAACCTGTATTTCACAATAGAGCAGGTAAAGTTTGTAATGGTGCAGTAGGGTGGAGGCTAGGTGGTGGAGCTGCTACTGTGCGATTCCTCGACTGTGAAGGCATGGCGAGGATCGCATACGTCAAATCGAGTCGTGGTTCAGTGGTAAGGTTCGACGTTCGACGACTCCATACGACGAATGCGATTCCTCGCTTATCCTTCAAAGCTCACCACCAAGCCTCCACCCTACTGCACCATTACAAATTTACCTGCTCATAAGTTCGCTTGTGAAATGCAGGTTGCAGTTTTGCTATCTATATTTGTAAATAACCTTTTAGACTCAATCGATCTACCCAAGTCTTCATTCAAAGTTCCATGGTAGGTTGGCGGACTTCCCTGGTTAGAGACAGGGTCTCACCTGAAGAGTGGTACCGTAATGCCAGAAATGCCTTTCCAACGAGAGATAGTGAGGCTTCGCATAGGAGTCATCAACCTGAATTTCAAATCCTAATAAATTCAGCAGATTGAAAGCTACTCGAATCGTAGGTAAAATAAGTCCAATCTTGAACGAACTGAGGAATGAGACACTCTTCTTGACAAGTTTGAAGGCAGATCCCAGCTGAAAGGCTGTGGCCGCAATCGCTGAGGGCGAGCGGCTGTTGATTGCGTCATTGGTCGAAGGGTTGCGAGGGAGTGCTTGACTACACCACACTCCGCCCCTCCAGCAATGACGTTGGCGACAACTGCCCACCCCAAGCCATCGCGCACACTCTTTCAACCATGTTTCCCTTCACTCATATCCGCTACGGCACCTCAGTTGGGATCTAGTTGTTTACATATTGAGGATTCTTTCAAGGCAACCTCAGAGGATAGTCTAAGAACATACCAAGAGGTTGACCGGCTCGAGTCCTTCCCTGAGGTGGAAACAGCCATAAATAGCAAATCCAACGTAAATACAGTACCACAGAGCGGCGAGTGCCTTGATTGCCGGTTGCATGAGAATCGGTGCGTACCTGAAAATCTTTCAGATTGTCAATTTGTGTCCTAACAAACTTCTGTCGTCTTACGGATCACGCCAGTTTCTTACCAATCCTGGAAGAATTTTGTAGCCGAACAGCGCTTCCGATTCGATTCGTGCATTGGATCGGGATGTGAACGTGATCCGAGCCACAGGAGTCGAGTTGACGCCGATGCTGCCACCTGCAAACGACTTGCCATTTGAAAAAAAATCCAGTGGAAGGCTGGGGTGTTTGCGCTCGCCTTGGGTGGTATTGTAGTCTTCAGCCACAGACAATGCCGGTCCTCTGCCTCCCATTTCGTGGCCAGCGACAAAAGAGCGCAGAAGAATGTGATCTATAATTTTGTATTCAGCATGAGACTTTCAGCTTTCACTTTCGAAAAATTTGTTTTGAAAAGCTGTTAACCTGATATAAGAAGGTGAGCACAAGGGCGCAGCAGGTGTAGATACAAAATATCTGCACAGCTGGGATTGTAGTGATCGTGCCGACACCAAATGAGAAGGCATCTGAAAGCAAGCGGTGTTATTCGAAGATTTGTATGAGTGAATTTTCGCAGAAATAAGTCAAATTGGTGGCAATTGGTCACATTTCAAGATTAGCCTTCGAGAAGAGGCTACGGTGGTCACGCCTGGGCGGAGAGTCGTTGTCACAGAAGCCGGGTCTTGTCAAGGGATTGGGTTTGTCGAGGCGCCAGTCTTCACTAATTGTTGAAGCGGGCAAGCGACAACAACTAATGGAAA